TACATTACCTTTTCAGCCTTTACCACTGTTATCAAAGTTGGTTGGCCAACCACTTCTACAAGGGAAAGAAAGACAGAAGCAAACTTATGCACAAGACAACACCTTTGGAAGTGATGCTGAAGTTCCAGAAACCTTAGAAAGGTGGAATTAAGTATTCCATATTGTTGCTTAGGTCCTTAGACAAGGCCATTCTCTGAATTCTTGTTCTTTTTAAAGGAATTGACACTTACAGACTCTCCTCGCTGAATATATCGTAGAACAGATGTCAGATTAGCTATTAGCAAGTAGAAATTGCCTTTTTAAAAATTATTATTATTATTATTATTATTATTATTCTTTTAGTGAAGGAATCCGCTGTCTGTTCAATGATGATGATACAAGCAAACTTCTTTCTGTATTAGGCATGTCATGACTAGGAGTAGCTTTAAGAGAGGAATGTGTCAATACATTACTAAAGTTTGAAAGGAAATGCAGGCATCCACAGAAAACACAGGATGAAATTTGTGCTTCTGAATCTTGCTCATGCAGCATGGCCTAGCTGGGAAGGGGAAACATTGGATTTGCTGGGCACCCATTGTGGGGACAGTCTTGAGACATACCACAATTTTCTGAATATTGAAGTGTACTTCCCAGTTCCCAGTCTGACACTCAGCTGGCTTCCGTGCAGCAGGAGGAAGGCAAGCACTTTGGAAAATGCAGCTGTCTTGAGCACTTAAATGAGAGCTCCCCTGACTTGGACAGCTGGACTATCAGGTACGTCATTATGTTTAAAATTAGCGGTTTGGAAAGAATTACAAGGCAAAAAAAGAGAGAGATTAGTTCAGATAAATAAAATATAGAGCAAGCTGCTTTCCGATCAGTTCAGACTCTGCAGGGAATTGCCTCACCTAAAAGGATGTCTTCCAGATTGCTTCCCACTCATCTTCCTTATGAGATAGTTTTCCTCCTGCAGTGCAAGGATGTCTTTGTGGCTCCTGCCATTGAGGGTATCCTCCTTCTGTGTATAGCCAAAATGACCTTTTTGCCTTATGACTTAACACGTGCTTTTATTCATTGTGAAATGATTTTTAATGCTTTTTAGTAAATGTGACAGGCAGTGTATTATGCACTGTCGTCTTTTATTTACTCCCATAAAGCATTATGGAATACCGTTAGTATGTGACATTCAGGATATTGTGTAGTACTTCATTGCATTGCAACATGGAACAGTTCAGTGCCTTGAAAGACAGACTCACTGTCTTTTCCTTTGCTTATGTCTTTTCTCAAGTTTTTTTATCCTGACTTTCCCCTTGCCTAGTGTGTGATTTCCATGAGTTCCCCCAGCGGATCTGATGAGGGCAATGCTTGTCTGCTTGGAAAAGTCTTATTTTAGTCCCGTATCTTTGTTGATACAAGAAGTACAGGAGTTGCTCACATCTTCTCAAGCTGTTTCCCAGTTGCTTGATGATTCCTAAGAGGCCAACCTTGTAAGAGCAAGTTTATGTTGACTATGTTCCTGTGTCTTCTAAGCCAGATAACTATGTGAAATCCCAGTGAAAATCCCCTTAGAAAATTCTAACGTGTTTGGTTCCGGTGCTGGTCACACCACTTCAGGTTGTAATTTAGTGCAAGGTGAGGGAGGTGAGAGGAAATCAAGCTGTTTCAGAACTCCTGAAGAGTCTGCTCTGGTGAAGTCAAGTGAAAGCACTGAGTAGCTTTAGATTTCATCTCATGTGGGCTATAGAAACAGTATTTATGGCCTTTCTCATGAAATATACATTCTTCCCTTGTGGAAAAGACATATCCTCAGAGTGCAATATTTGGATATCTATTACTTTACTATAGTGAGACTTTTCTTCCCATGCTTCTCTCCAACCTTTCCTCTATGATAACTTTATAATTCCTGCATTACCATGATAGAAATATTAAGTCACTGTGCTTTGATTTTTAAGCTTTTTAACATGTGCAGGTCTATTGCTTCGTGTACCTGTTCAACTCAGATATTGCAAAGCTGCTCCAGCCATGACATTTCATCACTGGTCTTAGTTAGGTGTGATTGACTTGATGGCAGAGCACCACAGTCTGTGAAATTCAGAGTTTAATTATGAACCATGACAGACCCTGTCTTCTTGGTGTACAAGAGCACAGTAGTGTGCGTTCTCAGCTGGTGTGCTGAGTGCACAGATGTTTTGTTTGGGGATATATGTATGAACACATTTAAGAGATACTGTCCCCCAGAATCTCAGAAGGGTAAAGCCTGTGCTAGGACTGTCTGGGAAAAGGAAATCTTTCCCTCAGAAGCATAAATTACATTGAACAACACAGTGAAATGCATGGTGATAGAGGGAAAATGGCAAGAGTTTGCTGTCCAAGAAAGAAGAGTAAAGAACTCTGAGGCATAGGATGAGTTATGCCATGTTTTACTGCAGTAACTTTTGTTCTGACTTGGGGAATGGTTGCTTCACTAAAAAGTGCGGAACTTGTTATCATCAAAACTGTTTTATTTTTATCCCTTTTCTTGGACATTTTTGACATAGTCCTGTGAAATATCTTGTCCTCTCGGTGGACTGGGTGTTTTTAGAGTCCAAAGGTCCTCAGCATTTTGGTAAGAATTCAGTAGTGTTGGCTGGACATTTTGTTTCATTCCAGATTAGGGGAAAAAAAACCCCACAGCTGTATTTTTCTCCTTTTTTTTGAATAAAATAAAATTAAAACCAGATTCCAGTATAGATGTCCCTGATGAAAATTGCAACAAAATTAATAGGTGGGTGGTCTTTATTTTCACAAAATTGTCACTTTTCCTGTGCAAATTGTTTGGTCAAAATAGAACAAAACAAAACTGGCTAATTCTGCATTTTGAGCTAGGGCTGTATTTGCTTAGAAAGGGAGGCTCAGAATGTGAAAGCATCTAAGAAAGATGTCACAGTTAGGTCTTTGGAGACAGTTTTACAGGAAACAAAGGCTTTTATCTTCTAAGTTTCAGGTTGTTTGGAGGCTAGAATTTTTGCTCTGTCAGAAGAGTACAATGAACTGTTGACACGCAACCATGCTTTGCTTACAGCTGCATGCAGGGAAGTATTTACAGCAAGGAACCAGTGAAAACCTGAAAAAACAGATGTACTTGCCATGAAGTTTGTACCATTTCTTTGGGTTCCTGTTTTTAATGAGTGTTTTCTGAAACAAATATATTTATTTTATATAAAGACCTTGGAAAACTTCAGTCAAACGTTAGATTTTATTTTAAGAGTAAAAATTTAGATTACTGTGTGTTACAGATGGCTACCACTGGTTGCTTACTTGGGGTTTGTATTGCCAACATTCACAGAGCGACTTGGTGGGAGATACTTTTCCCTCATTTGCTCTTCCTCAGCAGCCAAATTCAGGAGAAGGCACCAATTTTCTATTTCTGTTGCTTGTAGTGGAACTGGAGGTTGACCTGGCATTCAGCAGAGGACTAGAGTGATGTTCAGTTTAAGATAAAGACACCAGAGTTTAAGTGCTTACATGAAAGCAGTGTCCAAGTTCATGTAGTAAATAGAAATTCCGTCAATGCAGTTGGTTGACTGACTTACCTGGGTGTAACTCCTACAGTCTGCATTTAGAAGGGGCTCAGATTACCCACATGCAGGTGACTTTGTGAGACACCACGGCTTCCACTGGACCTTTGCTGGGGGCTGCTAGATGTGCTGCTGGATCTCCTTGTCCTCGTGGAGGCCAGGCAGGAAACTTTACTTTATCTTAAAGGGTGTTAGGCATCTCTCTGTGAGTGACTGAACTGAGCTCAAGATTCCCACACATCACATGGGGAAGGAACACAGATAGCTGTCACACCAGTGGATTCTTCAGAGCTGAGTGTGTTGGCTCCCCACAGAAGTGGTCACAGCACCAAGCCTGACAGAGTTCAAGAAGCATTTGGGCAATACTCTAGGTCACATGCTGTGACTCTTGAGGATAGTGCTGTGCAGGACTAAGAGTTGGACTCAGTGATCCTTGTTGGGCTCTTCCACAGTATATTCTGTGATTCTGTGACTGGGAACTGAAACCTGCCGTGATCTGCATGTTGTCTTGGAGACTTCTGATCCTCAAGATTTCCCCACAATGAAGTTGTTGAAGCACAGAAAAATGGTTGTTTGAAGTTCTTTGATGCTGTGAGCCAAATTCCAGTATCAGAAACAGTTGGACAATGCAAGTGCATGGTGCAACTGAGAAGGCATTTTGACTTTTAGAAAGCTGGGTCTTGCCACAGTTCCTGTTATCCTTGGAGCCAGGGATTTATAGCAGCAGAGGCTTTACCTCAGTAGAAGTAAAACTTCAGGAACAATTGAATATTTGCTCAGGCAGAAGTTGTGGAATTTTAATTAAATAAAGACTTGGCTATATGTCTTGAAGTTATTCAGTAAGTTGGGACACAATCTGACTTCAGTTACATCAGTATAAGCATGGTTGTGTTAATGATCCATTAGCAGCAAATGATTCACACTGTATAAATAAAATCAAAACATGACCTAACAAAGGTTTCTGGGAGGAAATACTTAAGAACAATAAACAAACTTAAATTCACTCAAATGCACTTTCCTGTGGCCCTTTATTGGTGCTTTTGTTCAGAGGGCATTGCTCCCCAAAGCACCAAATTTGGGAAGCAAGGTTGTTGATCTTTTTTTTTGCTTCAGTCTGTCTTACTTCATTGTTCTCAAGCTTTCAGCTTTTATTAAAGTTTAATTCTGTTTTAAAATCAAAGTGGTGAGAATGAAATTATATAATCGATATAAATGTAAAAGTAATGATATATTTCTTGTAAAATAAAGAGTCCGTATACTTGAGTTCTGTTGTTCTTGCTGTTTATATGGGATTGAATTAAGCGACAATACACTGTACTTCCTATCTAATAAAACTGCTTCTAGACACAACTTTTTTAAGGCTTTAAATGCAAATAATTTGTGCTTTGTTATAACCTGTTGTGTTTTTTGCCTTCCTGTAACTGGAACAACATACTAATTTCTACAAGTTGTGACTACTAACAGAGAGCAATCACCTCACAGACTTGTACCGAAAAGAAGAGACCATCAGCGTGGCAGGGAATGGCTGCATCCACAGTCCTCGCTTCCCCAGCAGCTACCCCAGGAACCTCCTGCTGACTTGGCGGCTCCACTCCCCAGAGACCACTAGGATCCAGCTGGCTTTTGATAATCAGTTTGGACTGGAGGAACCTGAAAATGATATCTGCAGGTGAGTGGCAAGTGGAAGTTTGCAAAGGTCTCCTTAATACCGCCTTCAAGCTCACTGGCATGAGACTGCAAACCAAACCCTGGGCATCTCTGGCCAGGTCTAGGTTGTCCTTGCATGAAAGACAGGCCTCCAGGCATCCCCTTTTGATTGAAACTGGTCTTTGAGTTTATAAATAAACTGAGCTTTCCTGGACCTGAAGTGGTTTTGGCAGGTTTTAATCCTTCTGTAATATTTTAAGCACAAGGTACTCGCATGCTCAAATCCAGCTACCTAAAAACATGGATACTACCTTAATAGGATTTTGTCCTCTATCACCCCTGTCATGTTTCAGCCAGGCAAAAAACATCTTTTTTGGTAGGTGGAAGGGTCTGGGAAATGTGAATGAGTAGGTAAGTGTTTATATTGGGCTGTGAGGGACAGATAAAAATGCATTGGAAAATATAATTATGTTCTTCAAATTACTTGCTTGTCTTTATTGTTACTCTTCACTGGTACAGTTTCTTTTAAAACCTTTAAATATAGTCCACAAACATCAGTGTACTGATGCAAACTTATATATTTATTTATCTATTTAAGTAAACCTTACTATATCCCAGTTGCTTTGGTTCCCCTTTTAAGCAAAAGTGACCTTAAGCTCAGTTGATCTGGCTGATTAACCTAGGTGGATAAGCTGCTTGGCATTAGCAGAGTACAGAGGTGAATCTTGCCAAAATTCACTAAAATGCTATAAATCCATTGAGGTTTTGTTTATATTTCTTTTATTTGTCTATCTGTTCTGTGGGAGAGAACAGGCTCGGGATTCCTGTGTGCTCCAAAAGGCAGATTGCTGTGATGCTACTTATATAAAATGCTGAAGTCTCAGTTTCCAACTCTCCCTGATCATGTTGTTAGTTACAGCTTATCTGTGCAGAGAGCTGGGTTGTTAGGGTTTCTGCACACCCAGCCTCTTCTTATCTTATCTTTTTTGTCAATTAATTTGTGTTCATAGGGTTTGGCAGCTCTGAAGGGGTTTTACAGGGTGTATTTTTTGCCCCTTTTTTCTTTGTTAAATTTTCTGCATTACCAATAAAGAGAACCATTCCTGCAGGTTTGTTTTTGATTTAGTAATAAAAGAATGCAGTCTAAAACTGGCTCTCCTTCCCTGCTCCTTGGCAGGTCTGCTATGCTCTAGTGCTGATGGTCCAAGATCAGCAGCAGAGTCAGTAACAACAGTTACCTCCCAGTACCCCAAATGCTTTCCCAGCTTCAGAACCTAATGCACACAGAAGCAGCCTGTTCATATTTACATAGTGGATAAACTGTGGCTGACCTTAAAGCATTGCAACTTTGAAACAGAGGGCTAATTTACTGTGGAAAAAAGATGAAGTATTCTCTGTCAAAAGCCCTTAAAGGTGGTGGCACAGAGAGGGAAAGCCAAGCTGTTACTGGCATTATGGGTTTGGAGACTGTCTTGGAAGACAGTCTACCTGCTTTCTCCAGAGCAGCTAATTTAGGATGCAGATAGAAGAAGCAAAGACCTTAAATCATCAAAAGTGTCTATAGAAACTGGAGAAATATCACATCCTTTTCTGCAATAAAGCTTTCCCTAGTTTCTGGAAGACCTTTACTTGGGTAGTATTACTTCCAGAGTGAGGAATTTCTTGGGCAGACAGCTTGTGATGTCTTTAAGCCTATTAAGTACTGTGTGCAGTTAGATTTTTTTGCTAATGCTCAATATATTTTTCAACACTAGATCCTTTCTGCAACTTCAGTCCCTGACAATCCCTGCAGTGCTGCTTTAGAGAGACAGCCAGGCGTGTTTTAATTGAAATGAATGCTTAGAGCTGAGCATATGCTTGAAGGCTGTGCATACTGGACAAGTAATTCAGGACTTCTTCACATTACCTTGCTTTTGTATTTGCTTTTGACCTTACACGTTTTTTCTCCCAAAATATCCTAGTATTTTCTTTGGATTTTTCATTAATGCTAATTATTATAATTTGCATACTATTAAGACTGAACTGATTGAAATTCATTCAGGCTGCAGAATGAAAAGGTATATTTTAGCAGAGCTATATTTTTTCTGAGCTTCTGAAGAAGGAGGGTAAATATTCAAGGTTTTACAGAATTTTCTAGAAGTGCTGTTAGCATTTCCACAGGCACTTGATAAGAGGTGACTCTGAAAAGCAATTAGATTACCCAGCCTCTGAGGCTCCTTGGATGCACAGAAACAACCAAGAATATACCTACTTCCATGACTGTTGCAGCAAAGCCTCTGCCGTTGAAAGCAGAAATAATCCTTAAATGTCTATGGTTTTTCATTGTTTTTGCTACCAGTTATTCTGGCTTCTGGCCTCAAAAAGTGGGAGGCCAGTCAGGACAGCTTTCACCAAAGCTTGCAAGGCTATCTCATGCTGAACACTGCAATCTGCTGTGTTACAATAGGCATTCACGGCTGCCGTGCTGCCTGGGGGGCAGTGGTAGGTGCTGGCATGGACAGCACGGAGCTCTGCTGGTACCACATCCATCACCATGAGGGAGTGGGAGCTGAGGATGGGGGTGGGGGGAGGGATTGAGACAAGTCTACCTCTGCCTGGAACTAAATTTTGGTGTGTTACAAAAAAAGAACATTTCAGCAGAGTTTGGGCAGATTGAAGTGATTTGGTCATGGCGAATCTGTTATTTTCTGTTCTGTGCAATTTGGAGTTGGTGAATATAAAAGCAGCAGTGCCAATATTCTCAAACCACATAGTACTTGTGGGTTTTTTCTCACGGGCTCTCAGCAGAAAAAGGAAAGCAGGTCTGTTATTTACAGAGCTATTCAGCTCCCACAACTGGGCAGGGAGGAGGGTGCTTGGCCCAGAGGCCTGGGGCAGGGAGCAGCACATTACTAGGAAGAATCGGTTAACAGTCTTAAACTCCCTCTTTGGAGGGAAAACACACTCTGATAATAGAAAGCTTTCTTGATAAAGATCCCCAAAATTTTAAGGCTCAGTTACACCAAGAGGATGGCACTCAACCTGCCCCTCTTGTCATCATCTCTCTCTCAGTGGCTGCAATGTGTGGAGCCTAATCCTGGCTTCACTGATACTGAGAGACTGTTTTTGTCATAGATGTAGTAAAATCAGAACTTTATTCTCTACCTTCTTTATTCTCCAGCTCAATAAATGAACTCAATAAATGATCTAAGTGAGTGAATACAAAGACTGGGGCAGCGAGTGCTGCCACTCTATCCCCTTCTTGCTGGAGGTTAGTGCCTGCTGCTCCTGTCAGAGCCCTCTTTGGGCTCAGGGTGCCACTGCTGTGCCACAGGTGCCTGGCTGAGTTGTGACTTTGCACAGGACAAGACGTGCTCTTGCATTTTCCCTGGTGACAGCATCCATGTGAACAGCCGAGTCCCCACCACAGCATGCAGAGAGCCAGCATACTTTTCTACTTGAAAGTTTGCTATAAGTCTTTCCAAACCATCTACAGGAGTGCTGTGCCACCTACAAGGAGGGTGCTAAAAAGCACCTTTCAACAGTGTGCACTGCCCTGTGTCCCTCCAGCATCTCCCTTTGCTCCTGGCACTGTGGCCACACAGCTCCAGCCCTCTGACCGACACAGCAGGCAGGATCCTTGGCTGCTGCTGTATGGATTTGGGTGACCACCAGAAAGTACACAAGTGCTTGCAGCTGCTCGGCTTGGGCAGCCTGCCTTAAATAATATTTTACCAGGTTTCTAAATTATTTACCCACCACATGAAACACAATGCGTATGCTTATTGTATACTAACCACATGGAAGTGCCTCTCGTTGCTATTTTAACATGTTGGAAAATACTGTCTGTCATGTTCCAGGAGCCCAGAAGTCACTCATTTGAGTACTTAGGCAGTAGCTTTCAGCTCAGTGTATTTTGTGCTACACAAGCATGCCCACCATTTGTAATATTTAGTCTGATGTTTTTGAGTGGAGAACAGGGGACAGTTGTCTTTGTGTCTCCAGCTGTGCTCCTTCCTGTTAACTTGCAACCACCCTCTCTAACCAGAGTTAGCAAAAACTAATTCTTCCTACTGGTTTTCAGGTATGACTTTGTGGAAGTGGAAGATGTATCAGAGACCAGCACAGTTATACGAGGACGGTGGTGCGGACACAAGGAAATACCTCCAAGAATAACATCAAGAACAAATCACATAAAGATAACCTTCAAATCTGATGACTACTTTGTGGCTAAACCTGGATTCAAGATATGTTACTCCCTTGTGGTAAGTCACCTGGGTGTGAGAGGGGTGAGAAACAGATTGCAGTGTAAACGAGAATCAGTACTTAAAGACTGGATGGTGTGACTAACTGCATGGGATCAAAACAATAAATCACTTATTTTCATTACAGCAACTACATTAATACAGATGAAAATATTTTTGACATCCTGTTATTAAATTTTAAACAAAGTCAAGTTCAGTTCATGATTTAGTCTAATAACATGTTTCAGAACCACTAACACATTCTACACTGAGGCTGCACTGCTAGTGCCTTGAGAGATGCTGCAGAAATAGCACAGAAATGGCTGCTCTATGAACTCTTTTTTCATGTTAATTTGAGGTCAAATAGAAGTACACTGAGGGGTTATAGCTGTGATTTTCAGTTAGAGTAGTTTATTCTGCATGCAATAAAATTCTACGTGCAAGAGAATGTACTAAGGCTCAGGCTGTATTTTTAATCAGATATAAACAGCACCTCTGTATATGCAGAAGCATTAGCAGTGTGTCATGTACTGTTTCAATGAGAGAAAAACATCTTCCTTTTTTTTATTTTTTTTTTATTTTGGTTTTGTTTTTAGGGAGCAGGAATGATCATTACTCTAAGTAGATATTGATACAAATATGTATTCCTTTGTATTGTCCTGATTAATATTATAATGCTTTTGGTGCAGTGTAGCTCGAAAGAGACAGATTTTGCAAACACTCAGGAAATGGTAAGCATTAATTTATTATACTGTCATCATTATATTTTCATATCCATCCCATTTCTTATTCCCTTTTTATCCAATCTACTGTCATTTAACAAGAATAAGAAAGCTTGGAATAGCCAATAATGCTGTAACAGGAGAGATGCATTGTTTGAGTCATTTCACTTCAACCTCTTGGCTTTGCATGCATATGTGCCTAAGTATGCTTAAAAGAGTCCATAAACAGCACATTCTCAAGACAGAATGAAGATTGTACTCCTTCACATTTAAATTGTTAGGCTTCTAGTGGAGTAAGGTATGACACTGTAAGTAAATCCTGAGCTCTAATTTGCTCTAATTTGAAGGTAATCTAATACTCAAATTCAGATAGAACAGTCTATGAAAGACCACTAGGCATAAAAATGAGACAGCGAAGGAACAGCCTCTCTTTATACTGCTCGCATTTCAGTGCAGCCACAGAAACTCTGCTGCATTTAGCGCATTTAATTCCAAATTGTGTGCAGATAGTCTGATAGTCAGATCGGCTTTCAGAAAACATAAATGTTATCGCTCATAAGACACAGGACTTTCTACACTAGAAAGCTCAGAACAGGCTACTGTATTTATCTAATTTCAAAACTATGAGTAAACAGAGAATTTTGCAGTCTAGCAAATCTATTTACAAGAATAATCTCTGTGTGCACTCTCTGAATGAAATACTATTTTATTTCTGAGAAGAGCACTGTAGAGGTGATTAGGGGTATATGTAAGATGGGGAATGATATGTACTTAGCTGATGTTCAGAATCCAAATGGTCCAACCTAAAACTGCAGGATTAATATTCAGCAGAGTCAGCCCTTATTCAATAGTCCCCACAGTCACTTAGAGCTCAGTTCATAGATGTGCTGAGCACTGCTGACCCCTGAAGGTGGAACTCACTGTGTGTTTCTAGACAGTAAACCAGGGAGCACTAATGAAGCATGCAAGAACATATGGTATTTTCTACGAGATAGAATGAAGGACCTTTACATTGCTTTTTCTTTCTTCATAACCACCTCTGAGACAGGGTTACTTCTGAGGGATTTCTTGGAAAATGGTGCTCAAGATATATGCAAATCTTTTACCCCCTTGCTTTTCTTATGTTTGGAATTGGGATCTGCATGGCAGTTGTTTATTCGTGTACTAGACTCCAACTGATACTTTTCCAGAGAAAATGAAATCAGGAGATTTGGAATTTATTGATCAGCTGCATTTCCTGTGCATGGTGCCAGAATGACTGGGTGAATTTCTTCTTGTTGCTCGTGCAGCCAAGCAACCTTGCAGCCTGGCTCACTGGCCTCTCATTTTTAAATCTTAAGGAAGTCAGTTAAGTTCATACATTTGATGCAGATCAAGTTTTTACTTAGTTCAGCACTCTGCATGAGGCACAAATGAGGCAGCGCAGACCTTAGAAGAAACACCCTTCATTATCTTTGTGTACTTGTATTAACTTCACATTTCAGTACCATTTAGAGAAACAAAAGGGGATTATTTTTTCCAAAAAAAGACATAAATTAGACTTTTATCACTTGTATCACATTTGCCCTCATGAAACAAGGTATGGAAAGTAAGCAACCCATGAAAGGGCTTGGTCACTCAGGATGGTCGGATTAGAACTCAGAGTGACTCTGGAAAATTAGTTTAAAAAGATACAAGATTGATCTTTAGCAGTATAAGGTTGAAAACTGTATGGATGCATGTGAGTAATTAACTGTCCCAATATAAGTTAAGAGGACAAAGGGCAAGCAGAACAAATCTGTGAAATAAAGTCTGACCATCTAAACACAGCATTTAGCAACTTTTCTTGCCAAGGCTGGCTCACTCCACCTTTTTCCTCCTCCTCTTCCCTCATCCTCTGCCTCTTGGCACCTCCACCTCTGCCCTCCCCTCTGTGGGTCTGAGGAACTAGGAAGGCTGGAGGGTGAGCAGTGATGATGATTTTGGAGGCAAGGGGCAGGTCCAACATGCTGCTGCCTGCTGCCTGTCCCTGATCTGCTCTTCCCTTATGAAGTTCTTCACTCCTTGGCGTGGGAGCTCCAGAGTGAACCTGACATCAGGAGTTTATTAGTGTGTTGAGTGCATCCCACTGCCTACTGCTGATCCCAAGTTGCATAAGAGTCAAAAGTGTTCCTGTCTGGAAAAAGTGACTCCTCTGTGCTGTGTGTGACGTTGTCAGAGGAGGTAGGTATGCACAGCTGGTGGCTGGTCTCCACAGGCACTTCACATTCAAAGCCCTCAGTTGTAGCTGCGCAGTTGGCTGGCTTAGCCTGCATATCCGCACAGAGAAATATTTCCCTTGAACCTCTTTAAAAATTGCCTTTTTCTTTAAGCTTCGCAGACCTAAAGCAAAAATGGTCTGGAGAAAGCCCTGGACAGCTATTAGGCATGAGCCTCACTTGACTGCAAATTTGTTTGAAATTCCTCCCTGCCATTATCACTCAAAGCCCTTACTTCTCAGTATTTTTTCATGCTTTTCTTGATCAAGTTGCCTTAGAAACTCAGTTTGTAGTATAGAAGGCATTGAGTTATTCCAGTATTTTTTTCTCACTCATTATGTAATTTCTTACTCTAAGGACAGAGTCATTCACAACAATGTAGAAATACGTGAAACAGAGGAAGATAAATAATCATTTTATATAATGCCCTTTTTCCTTCTCAAGTCAAGTTCTTCCAGTGTCATAATTCTAGAAGGGAATGTTAACAAGATTGAATCCTATGTTTTACAACCTCGTTAGCATGGACGTTTACTGAAATAGTCTAGGAACTCATTCAGGACCATGTTCCAACAACAAAGGTGAATGTTTGGAATTTAAATTCCAAATCCTGCATTTAGGTACATTTTACTGAGACAGCTAGAAAATCTTGGATTCCATTTGCTATTTACAAACACTATTTTAAGTTTATTGTAAAAGGCACATATTTTCTTATATTTTTATAACAATAAATTGCTATTGCCTTACTAATTGCTTGGTTAATCCTAAATGAAATCCATATTTTGGAACTTTGACTAAAATCATTACTGTAAACAAGGACTACAAGGAAGGAACATGTGTATATGTATTTTCATAAACCTGCATTTATATAAAGGTATAAGGTTAAAAATGTATTTACTTATACGTCTTTCTGCACATATATATACATATATGTGAGCTTTTACCTTCCTTTTCTTTATAATATAATTCATGACTAGGAAGCATCACAGAGCATTAAGGGCAATCTTATTTGCAAACTTATTTTGGAACTGTAAACCAGCCGTGGTGGAAATGTGGTACTAAACAGGAGAACATAAGTGTATTTGTCCCAGGATAAACTTAAGTGTCAAAATGTGTATCAATGGGTTAAATCCTGAGTAATTTTGTCCTGTTTGAATTGACCTTTTTTTTTTTTTTTAAATTAAGGAGCTATAAGTAAATTAGTGGAGTGGAGGGGGGTGAACTTAAGGTTTTGCTCCATCATGTGGAATTTTACAGAGAAATAGCTTTCTGCTAAACACCCAGACTATAGGTCACCACTCCTATGATCAAAAAAAGAGCATTGCTAACAAACTGGGGTAAGACACCACAGTTAGTCTAGTAAAATTTAATTACTTTCCATGCAAAGAATATTGACCAAAGTTAGCTCAAATTCTAAACTAACAATGACAATTCTAAACTCACAACAAACCAAACAAAATTGGAAGAACAATCAGAAAATGAAAATGGCCTAAATAAGAACCTGATCCTGATACTTGTACTCACTGACATCAGTCTTAATTAAGGCTCTTAATTAATGCTTGCCAGTTTTGTTTGTGCAAGTAGTGCAGCAGTAGGCTTCAGGGTTTTTTTAAATAAGTCAATAAATAAACACCCTTGTAAGAGTTAACATGATCACGAATATTCAGCCACCATTGTGAGTACAGATTCATAAAGATTGTAAGAAATGTTTACTTCTAAGTTTAATTCAGTCTGGAAGCTTCATGAGTCTTTGCTGCTGTGTTTCTGGTTTAGCTTGTCACTTCTTTCACAGAATAGATAGATAATTCATTTCTGTATCCAAGATAAAATATTCTGCCTAAACCCTATCTAATATATCTCATGTGACAAGAGAAGTGATAATGGTGCATGAATACCTTCCCTGCTATTAGATAATCCACAGAAAGAATCTCCTTAAATTGCTGGGGGTACAAAAGGAAAGGAATGGGGTGGAGGGGAATGTCTTGGTTAATAAAGTGTTTGCACATGAAATACATCTCACAATGCAGAAGCAAGAATTTACACGTGGATGTTTTCTCAGTTCATCTGCTACTTTCTCTGATTTCAGTTTAGATTGTCTGCCTATGCTAGACAGCAAAGATTTTTTTAAATGTGCAAAAGTCATAACCATCTATATGATGAAACTTCTATTTTCTTAAGTCTGGGCAGAAGACTATTTTCTGTGGTTTGCTCAAGGCATACCATCCTCATAAAATTATCAGCCAGAGGCTCATCTTTCAGGAAAAAAAGTAATTAAGTCCTAGTTTTTAATTAGATAAAACTTACTCAAAATCTTTAACATTCCTTCCCCAACTTTACATAAGCAGAGAGTTTAGGAGATTATCTATGCACGATTTTTTTTTTTTTACTTTGAAAGGTGTTAAAATTTTTAAAAAGCAACATAAAATGACAGTGTGTTAAAAAGATAGGATTATGTCTCAGTGCATCTTGAAACATGGAGCATCTTCACAGTAATTTATATGGGGAGGGAAAACACTTTCCATTTAATGAGAATTCCTGAGAATCTAGCAATCCTCAATCTGCTGCTTAATTCATAGGACCTCACCTGTCCTTCAGCAAGGTTTGGGGAAGAAAAGAAGGTGGTATGGTAGACAAGTGAAGCAGTGTGGTAGGTAGGGATGTTCTGGTTATCCCAGCACTCAGAGCAGAACAAAATATAGTGAAGGATACAAAGAAAGCAAAAGTGGGAGTCAGATAGCTTGGCAATGAGGAGAGGGTGTTCCTGTGTTGAGAAGG